TTCCATCTGCTTGGGTTGCCGGGTCCGTCCTATGTGCTTAGGTTGCTGGGGCTATTCTACGTGCTTGCGTTATGCTGTCTGTTGTATATCCTTGGGTTGCCGGGTCTGTTCTGCGTGCTAGGGTTACGCTGGCCGTTGTATCTGCTTGGGTTGCCGGGTCCGTTCTACATGCTTGGGTTGCTAGGTCTGTTCCGTATGCTTGGGTTGCCGGGTCCGTTCTGCGTGCTTGTGCTAGGGGTACGCCGTCTATTCTATATACTTCGGTTACCGGGGCTATCCTGCGTACTTGGATTGCCGGGTCTGGTCTGCATGCTTGTGCTCGGGTTATGGCGGCTGTTCTATGTGCTTGGGTTGCGCTCTTTCTTCTATATACTTGGGTTGCCGGGGCTCTTTCGTATGCTTAGGTTCCCGGGCTACTGATTCCATGTTCTTGGGCTACGCTGTCGGCTTGGGGCTCTCCTCTCTCGATGGACTCGCAATGATTACACTTCTCTTCGTCGTCGCTACACGCCCGTCGATCGATGTCGCTGTCCAAATACCGATCGATGTCGACCCTACGGCACTACTCTCGGTGCGGCTCTATATATTGCTGTACAATCGGGTCGTCGAACGTTCTCCTACCTCGGACGATTATAGCCCGACTCTTCAATCTATCCCGTCCGGCCCTTCCGCTCGCCTGACCGTAATCCAACATACTCCGTAGCTCGTCAACGTAGATCACTAAACGGATGTCGGGGATGTCGATGCCCATCCCGAACGCGCCGGTCGCAACGATTACCCGCGTATTGCTCGCTCGGAAATCGTCCAATATCTGCTCGCGCTCTTCGTCGGGGATGTCGGCGTAGAAACCCTCACATGGGAACAACCCGGCCTCAACGATCTGCTTGACTTTCGGCTTGCTCTCGTATATAACAATCACCTTACTATTGGGCTGTGTGGGATTCTCTAACACCTCCACGACTAACGCTTCTAACTGTTCGTCCTGCCGCTCCCGACCCTTCTAGCCGTCGACGACACTATACGCAATGTTCTTCCGAACCGTCGATGCCCGGATCAACTGCACCTCCCTACGTCGCCAAAACATCCGCCGGAACAACTCCCCCTCGTGAACGGGCGGCAACGTCGCGGTCAACAATACTATCTGCGTCTCGGCAATAGACAATCGTCCCAACTGCTACAAATGCTTTCGGAACTCCAACTAGTCGTTCAATATAACGTAGCATTCGTCGATAACGATGCGGTCTAACAAATCCAACCGGTTTAACCGACGGATATACGTACTAAACTCCTCGCTTATCGCTCTCTCGGGTATCACCAACACAATCGATGCGCCGTCGGCTTGGACGTACGGCTTCCAACTCGCGCACTTGATCCCTAATTGCTCGCACCGGTACATCATGTCCTTCCGCAACGCCTTTAACGGAACAACGACGATACTGACCCCGCGGGGCTCGACGAATGCTAGCAACATAAACAACACGCTCTTCCCCGCACCGGTAGGCATGACGGCGACGATCTGACCGTCTCCGCGTTGGATAGCTTCGAATGCTTAACCTTGGACACTACGGAATATGACCTCCTTCCGCATTATCCGCCGTAACTCAACACTGGCGTCTATCTGTTGGATCCGACGTCGACGGCGGACACACTCTTCTTCGGCGGCCTCATCGGACTCCTCCCACTTCCGCTTCACGCCCTACTCTACACCCTGCTCGGGCTCGGGCTTGGGCTTGACGTCGGCGGATTCGAATGCCAAAAACTGATACTAATCCGTACTGACCTGTCGGAACCGCCGCCGCTTGTCCGCCGACGACCCGACTAACTCTAATACGTCGCGGGCGTATATTATCCCTGCAATGTGCGGCGAATACGTCGCCTACTCGTCTGCGGCGTTGCCGTCTATGTCCTCGATCTGCGCCTCGATGTCCTCGTTCTCCCCGTCCCGCTAAAACGCTGTCGCCCCTCGGACCCATTTACGACTGATTGCGATAGCGATCTCGCGGTACGCGGCGACGTGGATCGGCTAGCCCAACCCTCGCTCACTAACGGCCTGCAACTTACGCTTTATCCGATCTGTCGTCTATTTCCTCCCGTCGGGGTCTACGGGCTACATATGATCCGATACCTGCTACTTCTGCCACACTAACGCCTCGATCCGTTCGATAAATAGTAACGCCAACTACAAATACCACACTACTAACTCACCAACCTCCCGCGGTAAATACCGGTGGATGATCTTGACGTCCCCGCTCATCTAGACGCCCTTGTAGTACTTAGTCACGAACACGACCTGCCCGTCCTCGATGAACAAATTCCGGTGGCCTCCTGCTACCGTATTACGGTGTCGGACGCTTAATATCTCGGGGCTACGTACGGGTTGTCCGCCGGTGATGTGCATCAAAATCAACATTAACCCACGGAACCGTGCGATCTACCGCATCCAATCGTCGACCCGCTCGCGGTCGTACCCGCTATCGGCCCCTTCCCGCACGAACCGGCCGTATAACTCTTCGTTGCTCTAAATCTTCTCGAACAACCAACTCGCCCCGTCGACGGGCAACTGGCTCCGCTGATCTTGGATCCAACTCTACCCGACTTCCTGATTCGTCGGATCGTCGTGTACGGCGCTCCACGGGATGCTAGGCAACGCTGTACGGTCCTTTACGAACAACACGTCCTCGAACAACGCCTGCCGGGTCTCCTCGACTAATTTGTAGACTATACCGCGGAACTAATCGATCGTGAACGATACCTGCTTGTACTCCAACGTGTACGTGTCCTTCCAATTGACGTGCCCGATGCTCGTCGTGTTGTAATAGATCTTCAATCCGTACGTCCGCAAATCCAACATCTACTACATCGGACTAGCCGTGCCGCGGGACATAAACGTATCGACCATTCGGCGGACCTAATCGAAACTGGTCGTCGGACTACGTCGTTTACCCGACGACGACTGCGTACTCTCAACGCTGCCGTCGCTCTTATATCCACTGTCGCTGCCGTCGTCGAACCGACACGGACTCCGGTATAGGCTGTACTTCCCGTCGTCCTCGGTCGGCTACACGATGTCCTCGGCCTGTTAGATGATCATAAACCGCGCGACCTTAATAATCGACGACAATATCGGCGGGTACGATTCGGGATCGCGGAACCCGGTCGTCGGATGTACTCCCAATACGGCGGCGGCACATACGATAGCTATATCGTACTCGCGATTGTGGATTGTTTAGTTCAACAACGCAACGCAAAACCGCAACACCGCTCGTTGGATCCGCGTCAATAGGGCGGGCTTGTTATCGACCTCCTTCTCTCCTCCTCCGGCCTCTCCCTCTCCTCCTACGCCTACTTCGGTCTCGACTAGGTTCTCGTCGTTGCTGTCGTTGTTACTAATGTCATCGTCGTCGTCGTCGTCGTTACTACTCTCCTCGCTCTCTCTCGCATCTCCTATATTCTTAGACGTAATCTCGACCATTCTGCTAAACGCGGCCGCCTAACCTCTGTTGAAACGATACGGTAGGCTACGCCAATCGTAGGCTCGTTACGTACGGACGAAAAACATCACTATCTACTGCTACGGCCGATACCGATCCTAGATCGACGCCTCCTCTTAATACGGCTACAACGGGTGGTACCGCTTCTGTCCCTCCTCGCTCCGGACGGCCTCTAACCGGATCATGACGCCGCTCTGCTGTACGACGGATTGGCTAGCCGCTACTACCTCGCCGACGGCGTTCTAAATCGCAATCTCGACCTTCCTCTCGAATCCCTCCTAGCTCTCTTCGTCCTCTTCGATCTCGACGGGCTCGACGATCGATTCCAACAACTCGGTCCGATTGTACCCCTACAAATACCGATCCCAACCCGTCCGTCGGATCTACGGGGTCGTCTCGGTCGTCTCGCTAGGTTCGACGACCTCTCGCTTCTCTCTTTCGCACTTTTCGGCGTGTTCTTGCGCCCGCTCCCAAATGCGCTCAAATGCTCCTCGTTTCGTATATAGCCGGGCCTGTCCTACCACTGCTACCTCGGGTTTCTGTACCTCGAAATACTGCGAATGCTCTTAGTGGACGAAAAATCGTTGACAATGGACGTACTGTGCTGCCGACTCAAACAACTGCTTTACTCTAGCCTTTTTCCGCTCTCCGGATCCGCCTCGTCCGGCTTAGATCGACCATTGATGCTCGGACTTCCAATGCGTACTGATTGCCTTCGGATTCCGACATATGTATAAACACTGACTCGGCTCCTTTATACACTTGATCCCATCTATAAACAACGGCAACTCGGCGATAGGTTGGTGGATATGTTTAGGAACTGTGAACCTGCTCCGCGACGTCGTAATACCCGGCCACTCTTGTATCTCTACGGCGATATGGTCTGCGTCCTGCTTGCCTAATCGATGCTGCTTGCCGCTTAAATGGCTGTATATAAAATCCGGCCAAACGGCGTATCGGCATTCGCGACATACGATGATCTCGTACTGGGGAACATACTGGAAATAATCGGTTGCTACTGCCATTGCGTGTTTGATGTGTCTTGCAACTACGACGTGGTTGGGGCGCTCTTCTTTCCTATACCTGCCCCTTTCGCGAACCCTGTAGCTGTTTGACGTTATACCCTCTCATCTCGACTAACCCTCGCTTGATCTACTAATTGCCTTGCCTTTAATCGGCTGATGTGCGATGCGATACTCTGCGGGCGGCCTCTAGGGGTGGTCATTGCGGGAACTTCAAAATCCGCCCTCATAATCTACCCCCTCAACACCGGCAACGACAACGACCTCTTTTCGGGTTTCGGGATGGTGCGATCTCTTCTGTATTGTATTATGACAAATTCCGTCGCTTCACAATTGCGATACCGCCCTTCCTGCGCCTGTAAATGCCTACCCTATCTGAATCCATTGGACCTGAATCCATCGGACCCCCGTGATGGCATATACTGCCAGACGAGATGAAGTCTACAGAGGGGTCTGAATCCATCGGACGTCCGATGGATTGAAGTATCTAGGTGAGACCACCTCCGCATCGGTCGCACCGTGCCATCCCACCTTCGCTCTCGCAATGAATTTCCTGCCCGTCGAGATAGCGGCTCATGATCAGCCGGCGACACTCTCGCGTCGTGATGAACTCGTCCATGACCTGCTGATCGATCCCTCCCACCCCTCGGCTCAGCTCCGCCAGCGTCTCCACCCGCCCTTCCTCCACGACGATCAACGAGTCCACGTCTTCGCCCGCACGTCCGCCCCGTCCGGATTCCTGCGCGAAATCGATCATCCCGTACGGGATATCGGTGTGCAGCACGAACACCACCCCGGGGAAGTCCACGCCGGTCCCGAGCGCCGAAGTTGCCACGATCAAGCCTCCTTTCTCTAGCCAGCGGTCCAAACGCTCCTGATTGTCGACGGCGCCGGCGTGATAGTACGCGCACTCGAGTTCTTCCGCGAGCCTCTCGCACCCCTGCCGGCTCCGGCTGTACACTACTCCTCTCCGCCCCCCGAGATGCTTTGTCATCCGACGACAGACTTCCCGCGTTCGCTCGGGCCCTTTGCCCGCCGCGCACATGTCGACCGTGTATCGGGTCCGGGGCCGCGTCGTGACCATGCGGATGTATCGCGCCATGTGCGCCGCCATCTGCTCCTCCAACTCGAACTCGAGCATGACCGGGAGCGTTGCCGTGAGCATGATCGTCGGCGCCCGCAGCCCACGCACGAGTCGGACGGTCGTCAGCTTCGCTCGCCAGTTGCTCGACGTGAACGTCAGATGACTCTCGTCCACGAACACTCGCCGCAACAGCCCCTTGCCCTCCATCACTCGCGCGTAGCTCATGAACGGCTGCACGACATCCGCGCTGACGAACACGAGCGCCGCCGGGTTCACCTCACCCCTCTTCCACTCGAAGCAGTCGATGCCGGCCTCCTGTGCCGTCTGCAGTAAGCGGTTCAGCAACGCCCGGTACGGCACCACGACGACGGTCACCCCGGGATCGTCGAGACACGCCGGCGCCGTGAATAGCAGACTCTTTCCACCGCCGGTCGGGAGCACCACCACGAGCGGGATGAAATCGTCCTTCTTCATGATCGACTCGAGTGCTTCGCGCTGCTTGTCCGACCTGAACGACACGTCGTCCCGTCGAAGTGCTTTCCTCATCGCCTGCTTCATCTCCGCCTCACCAATCGCCGGCCGCGTCCCGACGGGGGCGGTCATATGAGAGCGGTACCACAGCGGAGACGTCTCGAGCCCTTGCGACTCTCCCGGCGTGATGAGTCCTCCCACTCCATCCACGTACGGCGTGCTCGGCGGGCGCGGCAGCGGTGCGAGCTGCGGATCGATCGGGGCACACGGCGTCGATCGACCGTGACTCGGCTCGCTGCTGACCGGCACGCTGTTGCTCGGTACCGGCTGCTGCCGGAATCCCTCGAGCATCTCCATCCAGCCGTGAATGCCGTTGTTGAGAAACATGAGCGCCTGCTTTCGCCGTTCGTACTCGACCTCGCCGCTCACCCCGGAACTATCGCTACGCATGTGCGCATCACGCTTCTGTCCGACGCCGCTACCCTGCCGCGAGCTCTCGAGCCCCAGAAAGCGGTGCCACTGCATGCTCAGCGGCCGGAACGTATCGATTGAGCGGCTGCTGAGATGTTTGATTACCTCTAGCGACACCCCGTACCGATTCGCCCCAATCTCGCCGCCACGCCCGGCCGAAATCTCCAGCCCATCGTCTTCGTCCATCTCCGGCTCCTCGACCTCGTCGCTCTGCTCGGCATAGCCCTGTGCGAATTGATCCCCAACCTTCTCTCTCCCGAGTGAGATCGCCACATGTCGATAGTCCAGCGTCGTTAAGCGCCAACCCAACGCCTTCTCCGTCTCTCGCGCGATGATCTTCGTCAATCGGTCGGTGCCCCACGGTCCAAACTCGCTCGACCAGACGTAGTCGGAGACGCCAAGCTCTCGCACCCTTTCTCCCAGATACTGCTGTAGCGGCTGCACGTACGCGAGATGTACCGCTAGCAGCTGTCCGACCTTCCACGGCAGAAATCGCGGGATCACCTTCGGCTTGTCGAACTGCGACTGTGACTTGTGATAGCGGGTGACGATCACCATGTGCCCCTGTATGACGAACACATTGCGGTCTTGCATGTACCCGTTCCGGAACCGTACGGTTGTGATTTCCGACCCTCGCGCCGGCTGACCCCCGGTGACGTGAACGCAGAAGAGAAGCAGCTCGCGGAAGCGGTCGATCTCTCGAAGATACTGTCGTACGGCCAGCTTTGCCCACGAGTCTCCTCGGCGCAGCTTTTTCTCTTGCGCGTGTGCGAATGCTTGCTCCAGCATCCACTGCCGCTTGTCGGTTAATCCATTCTCGCCATGTGTGATGAACGAGACACCTCGTTTCGTGAACGTGACGTCGTCGACCAAGCTCTCTAACGGGATCTCGAAGCGATCGTCCCGCTTCGTCCACATCAACTCCCCCCATAACCTGTCCTCCGCCTTGGCGATGACGTCTTGAACCATTCTACTAAACTTCTTAAGATTGATCGGCTTGCCGCGAAAGTTCATAACGGTCCGGTTGAGTGAGAACGAGATCATGCCGGCGTTGTTGTGACTCATCGCCACGCTCTTGCCGTACGCCAACAGACTGAGCATTTTGCTCATTACACTGTAAGTGCCATCGGCGAGATACTCGTCCCGCACCTGACGGAAGCGCTTGTCGTCCTCGTCACCCTGCTCCTCGCGCTCGTTGACCGGGAGAATGACCTCGACTCCGACGACCCGCGTGCAGTAAACGATCCCGGCGAGCATATATGAGAAGTCGTTTGCCTGTCGAAGCCGGTAATCTTCTTCGTTGATCCCGAGCACGGCGAGAAAGTGAAGTATTGCGCTCTTGAACGAATCTCCACGTACCTTCTAAAAGATGAGCGATGCGTACCACTCGCGCAGTGCCTTCATCTGAGCCTTGTCGTCCCAGCCACGCTCGATGCTCTGCTGCACGATCCCGAGCAGCTCCTGCTGCCGTCCCTGCCACGGGTAGAGCCGGCGAGCATCTTCGAAGACATCGACGGCTGTCTCGCATCCGTGCCCCTCATCCTTACTGTCGCTGTCGCTGCTGCTGCTGCTGCTGCTATCAGACTCGCCGGGACTATCGCACGCGTCCTTGCGCCCTTCTTTGTCTCTTATACTCTGCAGCACTCGTAGACTGTAGCAGAGTAGACGGGAGAAGTACGTCGCATACGTCCGCTGACTCTCCGGGTTCTGTAGTCTCGCTAGCGGTCGTTGATCGATCTCGGATAGTTTCGCACTCCGCAGCCAGCGCCGAGTCTCCCGGTCTAACGATCCGAGTCCAGCGACACACGTTTCGATCACAGCGACGTTTAACTCAACCGCTCGCTGCAGCACGCGCTCCTCTTTGTCGGGCAAGCGACTAATACGGCTAAGATGCCGGAGATTGCAACGAGCGAGATGCTCCGGCCACTCGTTCCGCTTGAACCACAGAGTGTGATCCGTCTTCGCTATTTCCCTATCGGCGATCTCGAGCGCCTTCTTCTGCTTTTCTAGATCTCGATCCCACTCGTCGAGAATGCTACCGAAGCGGTTGTCCTCCGGATCGACCAGTACGACTCGACCGCCTATCTGCCGCAAACTGTGCGATCCTTCGTAGTTAACGGTGAAATATCGTTGTAGTCCTGCAGCATTGAAGAATGTCTGTACCCACTGTTCGTGCCAGTATGTTCGCTGCTCGGGTGTCGACCTCCAGTCGTGCACTCGGTTGCAATGTATACGGATCACGTCACGGTTCACGCTGAGCTCCTCGCATTCTTCTTCGTCGCAAATGTATGCCCTCTTCGGCGGTCCTAGACAGTTAAACGGCGGCTCAAGCGGCGGCGGCAGCAACACTTGAGCGGGCGGAAGTAGCGGGAAGTCGATGAAGTATGCTACTATTGCTTTGCGATCACTCACCGATGTGCGATGTAGTCGTTTGAGATGATCCTCGAGTGCGCGGACCGCATAGCAGTGTTGCTTACATACCAAGACGCTATAGTCTCCAAGATACTCGAAGACTTCGTCGACTTTCTCTACTGTCACCTGTGTCCTATTTAACAATCTACTGCGAGCGGCAGATTGCGTCTTCGGACTGTCGTTTATCTGCGCGTGTATTGCTGAAGTCGGGGATCTCAGCGGAGAATTACGCCCACTCGCAGCCATCTTGCGGATGCGCTAGCACGCGTGAACGAGTACTTCTACAGATGCATAGAATCGCCAGAATAGCACAAATTTGATAGAAAAGTATAAGAATGATCTCGCGCTTCATTCTGCACCTGTTCGAAAGTGCAAAGAGACGTATAAGAGAACCAGCGGTGAGCTGAGTCCTACGTACCTGAGTCCTACGTTCCCGGCTTTACGCCTTACTACTTTTGGCCAAATTCTTGGCGAGTCCAACGCTCAGAACGTAGAACTCACGGCCTCATATTGGTTAGGTACTGTCGGTCGATGGTTTGAGATTGAATATCCGTGATCTCAAGATCCGCGGGATGCCGCTCTTCGTGGTCAACCGCAAGATCCCAAACGGCTGTGCGGAGAACGAGACGAACGACTTCACTCCAAGCATTCTCGTCCTTTTGGTACAAGTCGCATGCATGCGCAGTCCGAAGAATATGCCGAATTCGCTCTAAAAACCGGATCGATGATGCGTCATTGGGAAGGTGCATGGTGTCCGTGACCTGTGAAATGAACGGTGCATCGAACGAGCCGCTGTAGGTCGTATCACCCTCCATACGTTCCTGACGTTGAAATCAGCATCTTACTGTCCAGAACCAGATATCTCCGCCCTCAGACGTACCTGCAGCATCGTAGGGACGACGGCCTTGTTCGCGGCCTCGCGAAGCCGTTGCCAGAGTTTGCGAGCCATAGTATCCTCCTCCGCACGTATGTTACCAGTCTCGATGACTACGCGTGGTCGTCCTGTATCCCTCAAAGACTGTGTTTGCCGTCGCACAGGGCTTGGGCTACGCTTTCGACTGCGACTTTCTTCTGGAGAGGGAGGGCGAAACACTGGCTGTCGCGTCGCGCTGAGATCTAGTCTTCTTCTTCGAACGTCCTGACTTTGATTCCGCTCTTCTCCTGCCTCTTCGTCCATTGATTCTCTGCCTCGTTTTTGCCCTCGATTCCCTCGAAACCGCGTTCGACCGCGTGAATGATCGTGGAAGCACTCGTTGCGCTCGTCGAAGCTATGTGCCGGAGTCATAGCCATAAGCTCTCGTATCAGCTTGCCTCTCGCATACGCACTTCATCGAAGCTCGTTGGCTCACGATCTTTGCAGTCTATCGAGGATAGGAATATTTGCGTGGCGCCATCAAAGGAAACCACCGTCGCGAAGGGCAACCTGCCGTGGGGTGATGCGGGGTAGCGCCTAATCCCCAAAGCAGCTGACGCGTTTAGACCGCCTTCGTCTACGGGGCTGACTGATGTCGTTGGCAGTCCTTCACATCCAGAAATGCCGGACAGCGGTCTACGATGTCTCCACGCGCCTGTTCTGCGACCGCACTATCATTCAGACGTGTTCGTGCTACTGGTCCCGCAAATCTCGCAACTGGTCTGCTCCACCCTATGACCGCGACAATCACCATGTCTTTCGGCAAGAGAGGGCAAGCTTGGGAATGGCATTCGATAACGCTTTGCAAGAGGAATACCGCCTGGAGCAATAATACTCTAAGTCTCGTGAGCGGAAACATCAGATTGGGGAACAATTTGCGGAACGGGCTGGGAGCGCTTCGACAAGGCTGCTCATGACCGTCATCGATATAATGGAGCTACGAGATTTGATCTTCTCCTACCTCTTCCCCGGTGAGTTCGCTGCTTTCTGCAAAGGCTAATGATTGCTCATAAAACGAACGTCCATAGCAGGAACACTAAACCCTCTGCGACTGATTCTCTCGAGTGGGAAGACAATGCCATCCATGTACAAGGACGGATGTGACTTGACCGTGATCAGTGATACGGAGGATGAACTTCTATACGGCGTTTCGAGGCTTCCTCGCTCACATGACTGGTTCACCCAGTGGCTGCAACCCCGGAAGTGCTTAGCGGTTTTGGTTGCTACCAAGGATGGCAATTTCGTTCCTTGCTCGGCGAGCTTTTGTGCCCGCGGAGAAGTTTGGGTGTGCACAGATGGTGGCCGACACTGTAGACGATGTCACAGATGAGAATGAGTTTCGAGGACTGTCACCTTGAGGTATGGCTCAGATGCCGTGTCAATCTGGATGCCCCTTCTTGAACAGTCGACAGCGCTTACCGATCATCATACTACAGTCGATCTTCCACGGTTTTGTGAAAGTGGCGTTCCGTGCGTATTGGAAGTATCAGCGTCATACGTTCTATGCTCACCTTGTAGACGCCAATTCGCGAGTACGAGGGCCATTAATGGTTACCAAGCCCTTAGGAAAAGTCTCGGACGAAGAGTGTCTAAGCGATAGCTTATTCACGATCGAAGTACCTATAGAAGACCATCGATGGAGCACAAGAAGCACGATGCAGTATAGGATTGCCCCCCCCCCTACGAGGTTAGGGTTCGCGTCCATGAATGTGGTACATGAACTGGAGCGTTGCTTTGAAACCTTGATGAGCTCGGGGTCCGTACTATCCATACATCGCTTCAACGCCCAAGTGTGCTTGGGCAGTCTGAGGTATATCTAAATGCAATATGACGTGCTAGCTTGCTATCTCTTGCGAGATATCATTTCCATTTCATAGCATCCTGAGACGCAATGTGGTCCTATACCGCGTTTTGGCGATGGAGCTCCTTGACCGCATGTGACTCGTTGCGTGCAGATCCCACTTCGCGGGGGTACCTCTGCTTCGACGACGTTTACAGCGCAGGCGCAAGGGCACGACGTTGAGCTTCTATCTATTCTAGACGCAAAAGTCGATCTCAGGGCAACATGTCAAAGAGGATAGGTGTGCGACTAGAACATTGCGCCCACGAGATTCCGTGCAAGAGTGGGAACGCGATGCGTTCTTTCGGACGGAGCGCGCCGCGTTCCAGCACAATGCACCAGAATAGTACTGTATTTGGTACTATTATCTTTCTGTTGAGATGTGCAATGCGACATGGATGATAGCGATAGAGTATGAGAATCTTTCGTCCCTTTTGAAGTCCAAATGCGGTACAGATCCTTCGCGCGCTCTTTTATGCTGTGCACAGTACGGTGCCCTGTGTAAGCTCAGTTCCTGGTCTCCGTGGTAGGATACATGGCGTATCTTTTGGTGTTATTCCAAAGACGCAATAGACCTTGTAGCAGAACGTCGTCTTCGACGCTTTGCAGAACGTTGACCCGCTGGCGTCACCAGTTGCACCGTGGCTGGAGTCATTCGATCACGAATCCATTCGGCTCCTACCGCACACAAAGAATGATGTCAAAAACCTTACCGAAGCTGCTATTCCGAACTTGCTCTGATCAGAGCGCAGGACGGGCGCGTTGCGGTCGACTTACGCTCGGTTCGTCTGAAGAGAATGACACGCAGCCGGATCTGCCTTGCGAGTTTCTTAAACACAGCGACAAAGACAATGAAGAAGCCACATGGTTTGTCTCTACGACGGACAATTTCATGCGGGCCATTCATATTGCTTTCCAAAAGCAGGAAGCTGGAGAGGACAACATAGAGATCATCTTCATCGAACCGAATGACGGTACCCATGAGTCACCACAAAGAGCAGAAGAGATGGCTCGGGATTGCGGCTTCTCGACGCCGGAGCAAAGGCGCTTTGAGCATGAATATCTATTTATTCGGCAAATCCCGGACCACTGCATCCTTCACCGTGTCGATCTAGACATGTTGGGCATGAGAGGTTTCACGATCGAGCGGCTTATTGGTCACGTACCTGGATGTTACTTACGCCTTACAGACTTTTGCAAGAGCTTCAAAAATTACTGGGGAAGCTGTAGTGTAGACGACAGATCTTGCTCCTTGGCCATTGCCGCCTGCTGCTTCGGTTTGCATGCTCCAGTGGATCATATCTTCTGGGCCTTGTTTCACGCATCGACCGCAAAAGGTTCTCAGTGGAGAGCTTCCGGGAGGATCATTGCTGAGAACCTTTCTTGGGCAAAGGAAGATTTTACATCAGACGTCAGTCTCGACTATCTTCGTTTTGAGGCTGACTTGGTAGATTTGAGTGAGGAGTGGTGCTTGATGGAGTTCGAGCACGAAGAGAGGCTAGACGAATTAGTGTATTCTCTGCTGGACGACGAACCAGCAATGGATCGCCAACTTCAGATAGAGAATGAGCAGTATAGGCAGAGTAAAGATCATTTAGAGAGGTGCATAGAGCATACGTATGCTAAGATAGGGTACTGAGCAAGTTACCCTGTTACTTATTCAGGTCCTGGTTTCTCTTGCAGACATCGTGTACACACAGGGTCACTCTCTCCCCTTCCCAACGGGGTATACAATTTCCAGCCTTCAGTTCTCACGCTGAGCCTTTTTCGTCCAGCGTATGAAGAAGTCTAGCAAATTCGTCGCTCGAGTTTTGTCGTACCAAAGTGGCTTGCATCTGCCAGTGCCGAATCGTGTACGAATGCAACAAGCACATTGTCAGGAGTTCGCGAGAAGAGCGCGGATTGCGCTTTCAAGAGCTGCATAAACGAGTCGAAATCAAGAGGAAAAAAAAATGGAAAAAAGAAGGGAAAAGAAGAGTACGGAAAACAAGGTCCAAAACGCAAAGAGAAGGGTAGAAGATCAC